CGTTGCCAGATATTAAAGTTTTTAAATAAATAGCACACTCCTCCTTTCCCTGTCAGAATATCAAAACAACTGGTGTGATTTATATACCTGGAACTATAATAAAATGAAGAATTTGGTTTTGAGATACAAACTTGCTTCTTTTAGAATTCTCCAATGGAATCAAACAGGAATAGCTGATTATTCTGCATCAAACACTAGTATTCTGAGCCTACATCAACGGGTCGCACAGCTCCACATTTCTTCCTTTCACATTTGGGGTGTGTGGGGCGGGGCGGGGGGTAGCTCCTTTGCATTTCAAAGGCAAGAAACAGCCAAGCCAAGTTTTCCCCTGCCTAGAATCAGAAACTTCTTACTAGGACCCGCTCTTTTACCCCACAGAGGCATAAGCCTTAATACCACGGCAAAAGAGGCGGTAACAGGAGACAGGCTGCACCAGCCGAGATCCTGAGCTGCCCCAAGGTATCCCACCACACCGGAGGCTGTCAGGCCAAACCCACCGGGAACTGCCCCACCCAACTTAGGTGACAGCTGCTCCGCCACATCATCGCAGAACATTCAGTCACAGAACATTCAGCCACGCTTGCCATGTGCAAAAAGAAGATCCACAGGTCCAATCCTCTCTCCCTCTAAACTTAAACGTCTGCCCGAAGCGAAAGCATCCATCCAGAACCTACCCGGAGCAGATGTGAATCTTCCACAAAGTAAAAATCCGTAGGGAGAGCGCATGCGTATTTCCCAGTCGCCGTTCACGTGACAGGAAGTGCTGAGATCGCATTCGCTCGGTATTTTATTAAAATCGTCTTTACGTGGGTTAAGGGGGGGCTGCGAGAGTCCTTCTTTGCCCATGTGTGCCCTCTGAGCCTGATGGGAGTTGTAGTTCTGCAGGGAAGCTCAGGGTTGTCTATGGAAACTCAACTGGCCTTTAGGAGTCCCACGCCTCCTCTCCGCCAGACCGCAGTGCAGAGGCTACGGGCGGAGCAGCTGGTTCGGAATCCACCTTTCGCTATGCTACTGCTGCTGTGCTTGGCGTTGGTCGCAGCCTCCGCGCTCGCGACACCGGCCCCAGGGGCAGCGGGGCACAGACGGCGGGGGACCGAGGCGCCTAACGTGGTGCTGGTCGCCAGCGACTCCTTTGTAAGTACCGGAGACTGGGACCTGCCACCATGGCTGGCGGTGCGACCCGCGCTCAGCCGCGCTGCCCCCTCCAGCCGCGTCCAGGGAAAGCTAGAAATTCGTGTTGTGAGATCACGAAAGCGCACACCTGCATCACACACATATGCATACCTATAAAATAACTGTAAGTGAGGCGCACTCTGGGCTCATTTTTCCTTTTTTTTAAAAAAAAGTAATCAGAAGTGATCTCTTCCAGTTTCCCAGGCTGGCCTTGAATTTTGGATTCAAGCGATCCTCCTTGCCTCAGCCTCCCTACTAGGGACTCAACCCTCGCACCCCTGCGCTGGGAACAAATCTTTTTAATGTTAGACTCAGTTCACTAAAGTATTTTACCATTATTAGTAAACTTCTGACCTCCGTGGGCATTGCACAACACGGGTGCACTTACATTCAAGCAATGCCCTTACACACATAAAATAAAAATAAATAAAATATTTTTGAACGTTGCAATAAACCTATTTTGTACAGCTAGTATATAATAAATTATATATACTGATCACATATATAAAAGACAATATAGAGTTTGTGAGAATGAGGAGGAATTGGACCCTTTACACTGCTGTTGAGAATGTTTTTTAATGGTACAACCACCTTGGGAAACAGTTTGGCAGTTTTTCCAGTGGCTGTGGATTGCTATGCAATCCACAATTCTATTCCTAGGTATATACAGAAGAGAAATGAAAATAGTCCATACAAAAGCTTCTATGTTAATGTTTATAGCAGTATTATAGGAGGAGCTAAAACAACCTAAATATCCATCTACAGATAAATGGGTAAATTAAATTTGGTAGTATTCAACAAAAAAGAAACCCAAAAGTAATGCATGTTACCATGTGGTTGAATGTAGAGAACTATACTAAGTAAAAGAAGCTCTACAGGACCACATTTTCTATGAATCCATTTATATGAGCTGTCCAAGGAAAACAAATATAGAGAGGCAGAAAGCAGATTAATAGTTGCCTTGGACTTGGATGAATAGAAGGTGATGTGGCTAAGGAGTCCAGGATCTCCTTTGAGAATGATGAAAATGTGTTAAAATCAACTATAGTGATAATTACACAACTTTGGGAATATACTAAAAACCATTGAATTGCAAACTTTCAATCAGTTGCATGTAAATTAAATCTGAATAAAGTCTTTTTAAAAAAAGAAAACGCTTCTGTCTGGGCCTTAAGGGACAAAGCCACCCTCTGCACCACCACTTTTGCACACATCTCACCTTTCCACCATTGTATCCATCTTGGTTTTAGTGTGGTTTTGAGGTTTCAGAAGTGGAGGATGGAGACAAGATTGTATACTCCAGAATCTCCTAAAAATATTTGTCATGATGGATGTCTAGAAAGCACTATAAAACAGCCTTGTGCTGTTTTTATAGACAATTTTTATAGACAGGTACACAATTATTGTTTCATTAGGATGATGCTAGTTCTAGTTAGGTCTGTCAACTTGACACAGCCTAGAGGAAAGCCTTAATTAAGAAACTGTCTAGCTCAAATTAGGCTATAGGCATGTGTGTTGAGAGATTATCTTGATTATTAATTGATGTAGGAGGGCACAGCCCACTGTGGACAGCACCATCCCTAGGCAGGTAACCCTTGGCTGTATAAGAAATCTAGCTAAGCCTGAGCCTGACAAGAGAGGCAGCCAACAAGCAGCGTTCAGCGTTGGTTTCTGCTTCAAGCTCCTGCTTAGTTCCTATCCTTACTTCCCTCAACAATGGATGTAGCGTGGAACTGTAAGCCAAATAAATGCTTTCCTCCCCTACATTGCATTTGGTTATGGTGTTTGTCACTGCAACAGAATAAAACTAGAGCAGTGCTTAAAATATAATCTTCTGGGGTTGGAGAGATGGCTCAGCAGTGAAGAGCACTGGCTCTTAACTCTTGCATAGGACCCAGCATCCACATGGTGGCTAGAAACCATCCTTAACTCCAGTTCTAGGGGATCCTATGCCCTCTTCTGATGTCTGACAGCATTGCATGACACTGGTGCACTTACATACATGCAGGCAATACACATAAAGTAAAAATAATAAAATTTTAAAATCTAATCTTCTGTGGTCCTCGACACAAAATGATAAGGAATTGAATATCATGCCATGGTTCAGAAGCAGCAGTCAAACTTTAGTATAATTTATAACTATAGCTGAGGATGTAGCCCATTTGGTACAGCACCTGCCTAGAATGCACAAAACCCTGGGTTCGGTCTCCAACACCAAATACACGGGGCATTGGTGATGCATGTCTATGATCCCAGGAAATGGAGTCAGGAGATCCAGAACCAAGTCACCCTTGGTAACAAGGGTAAGCAGCAAGTTTGAGGCTGTCTGGGAAACATGAGACACACATATGATATGTATATAGCTATTCAAAATTTTTTTGCTAGCATATTTTTACCTCTCCAACTGGACTGTAAACTTCCTAGAAATGGGACTCTAATTCTCCTTTATCCTCAGATCTTACACAGTGCCTGATATTCAGTAAATACTCAGTGTTTGTTAAATTAGTCCATCATTCTCCAGAAGAACCTTCCAAGAAGTCCTTTAATATCTGAATGAATCCAAATGTCCACTCTATCAAATTCTAGACATTTAGATACTGGTTCTCAGAACATTCCTCAGTACTTGCTTTTTTTCCCCCTTGAGATTCCATACAAGCATTTTTTGAAGTCTTAAATTATAAATTTTATGTTTAAAATTAAAGGAAATAATTTTCTTTTGTAATATAATTAGTGGTCACTGAATTTCTTTATTCCAGGATGGAAGGTTAACATATCAACCAGGAAGTCATGTAGTAAAACTTCCTTTTATCAGCTTCATGAAAGCACACGGCACCGCCTTTCTGAATGCCTACACAAACTCTCCAATCTGTTGTCCATCACGTGCAGGTATGAATATGCCTAATATTACTGGAAAGGGTCTAAGCCCTGAAAAATACATTCCTAGTTTAAAATATTATACACTAAATCCTGTAGTAAAATAATATTTGGTGCCTAGTAAAAATATCTCAGTATAAAAGGTGTGTTCTAAGGTATGTATGGAGTACTAGTATTATCAGAATTTCTAATTTGTTTTTCTGAGTAGGAATCTTTATTTAAGATATTGTCTAGTTCATGTACTTCTGTTTCATTTTCTCATTATTGGTAACTAAGAACCTCTTGATTATTAAAACAAATGAGCAAGAACTCATTTCTTTGAAGAGTTATGTTTTCAAGAAGTAGTTCAGTAATGATTTTGGGAGGACTTCCATAGACTGTATACCACAAAGTAGTCAGAACTTCTCATATTCGTGCTTATCTGATTGTTCCACATTATTCCAAAATATATATGTTTTCTCTTTTGACTCACTTCACTTCTACACCAAATCTAATTGCTCATCTTTGTTGTAGTAATTTAATAAGCATAGTTTCATGGCAAACATGTCAGTGATAGTAATCCTTAAATTTTAAAAATGAAACTTTATGAGTTTTGTCTGTTGTCTGAAAGTTGCTTTCTTTTTCCTCTGTCCCTCTGGTCTATGATTATATGCCTTGGAACCCAGAAGTGGCACTAACAACTTGGTTTTCTCTGTGGGTTGCTGAAGTGATGCTCTATAAATCCAGTTACAACTACCTTCACCTGTATTTTCAGCACTGCGATCTATAAAGTCACCGGTGGTTAAAGGAAAAATATACTATCCTGATTGATATTTCAATGATACCTAAAAACATTTTTGTTAACTTTTATCCTGTATAAACTAGAAAGACCCCTGAGCTGGGGTAAGGTGATTCTAAAGCTTAGTAGATCATGTAGGGGAAGTTACTCTATTTCCTTAGCTAATATGCACTATCCTCACAGCATACATGGTTGTCAGCTGGAATAATAAATGAGAAAGCTGTTAATGAGTCATGAGGATCTGACAAATATGCTTCCCTTAAAAGAAGTATATTTTGAAGCATTTGAACAGAGGCAAGTAATTAAAATGATTGTTAAAGCTGGGTGTCGTGGCTTACACCTTTAATTCCAGCACTTAGGAGGCAAAGGCAGGTGGAGATCTGTGAGATCAAGGCCAACCTGGTCTGCATAGTGAGTTGTAGGCCAGCTGGGGCTACAGGGAGACCCTATCTCAAAAAACAAACAAAAAGATTGTTTCATTTTCACTGTGTGTCTGGTAATATTATAAATGCCTTCCATGTATTAATGTATATAATCCTCATAATAGTTCCACGAGGTAGATTGATATTATAAGTCCCAATGTGCAGATGAAAATTAAAGACAGAAAGGCTGAATAACTTGTCAAAGGCCACTCAGAAACTATGATTATTTGGATTCAAACCAAGTAATACCCCACCTCTCAGAAAGCATTTTGTTAGATTAGAAAAGAGGGGGGCCTAGGAAGATAGCTCACTTGCTAAACTGCTTGCCTCACAAGCATGAGGACCTGAGTCCTGCTAAATGCTAGTTCCAGGGGTGACTCAGAGACAGAAAGATCCCTGGGGCTTGCTGTCCAGCACTCTAGCTAATCAGTAAGCCCCAAGTTCAGTGAGAGACTCTGTCTCCAAAGATAAATTGGAGAGCAATAGAGGAAGACATCCTTTGTTGACCTCTAGCCACCACATGCTCGAGACATACACATGCACTCGTAAACATGCATGCACATACACACACATAGAGAAGAAAGAAAGCTTCTTCCAGTCTACTATATAAGCACAGAAATGAGAAAAAAGAAGGTGCATGCCTTTAATCCCAGCACTTGGGAGGCAGAGGCCTGTGGATCTCTGTGAGTTCAAGGCCAGCCTGGTCTACATAGTGAATTCCAGGACAGCTGGGACTACAGGGAGACCCTGTCTAAAAAAAACCAAAAAAAAAAAAAAAAAGAAGTATTTATTAAATAAACAGTTATGGAAAACGAGAGAGCACATAGCACACCTATTTTTTAGAAAACCCCTGTGAAAAGATATGACATGAGAAAATCCTTGAACATGTAAGAGAAGCAAATCTACTGATTTATGATATATGAAGTTAACAAAAAAGATACTTGCAGATTACTTCCATGATGGAAGAAAGACCAATATGTACAGGCCTTATATTTAACTCCAGCCACAAATACAAATATGTTAAGTAATTTAAGCTTTGCCTTGGTCAATACATCTTTAGAATGGAAACGCTAACTTCTTTTATGGTTTTCCCACTAATAAAATAAAGTAGCACTCCAAAATGTCTAGGACATTTTCTCACTCTGGAACATACACTCTAAAATATCAGACTCTCTCACAGAATAACTGCCTTTATAGTTAGATTGTTAACCTTTACTTTAATCAACTTCTTTCTCTTCCCCCGCCCCCAGCAATGTGGAGTGGTCTCTTCACTCACATAACAGAATCCTGGAATAATTTTAAAGGTCTAGATGCAAATTATACGACATGGATGGATGTCATGGAGAAGCACGGCTATCAGACACAAAAATTTGGGAAACTAGACTATACTTCAGGACATCACTCTATTAGGTAAAGAAATAAAATAGACAGTGTTAACCCTAAAGGCCGCCCTGTGCTGTCACATGTACATGGACTCTTTTTTTCACTTGGTTTTCCTCAAAGCTGGAAAGTAAATCTCTTAATCCCTCAATTGTGCTAATTTGGCTAAAGCTTTGGCTTTCTTTAATCTGCTTGAAATATAAAATTGTTTAATGTGCTAATTTTGTTTTTCTAAAGCATTAAAATCTATAAATAATACTTGTGAAATTGTTTAGTCAGTGATTAATTTTTCTTAGTTTCTGTTATATAATGGCTTTTCATTCATCTTATAATTTTTATAACAGTAGTGTTCTTGCTATTTGATTTTGACAATTCTCTATATCTTGAAGTTATTGTAACTTTTTTTTCTTTCATTTTAGTAAGCCATCAAATATCAGACACCTTTCTTACCTGTGAATTTAACCTAGTAATAGAGAACATGCTTAGCATGCAAAAGGCCCTGGTGCATCCACAGCACCATAAAAATAAGTACCTAAGCATTGTGGTTAAGATTAAAGATCTGGAATATGATTGCCTAGTTCAGATTTCTGGTTGCTCTAGGATCTACTAAATTCATGGTTGTATAATGTTGAACATGCCTAGCTAATTGGCCTTCAATATAAAGGTTAAACCAAATAATTAATTATTGCTGGAAAGTGGTAACATGTAGGCCTGAGACTAATAATCTTAAACATGCCTGCTCGCATGGTTGACCCTGGCTAGTATCTTGGAACTTGGGATTCAGGAGTGTTTTTGTACCATTCTCTAACTAATAGTGGCTTACTATGGGCTTGGAGTGTTTGTAGAGTGTGGCTTATGTTGAACAACCTGCTTTCTTTTTTGGGAGTCTAGAATTTTTGTATGGGCAAGCACAGGTGTCCACATGATTAGCCCTCAAAAAAATGTGGGCTCTAAGTTTCTAGCAAGTCAGGATAATACTTCACATACTTTGCATAGAGATAGTACTTCACACCCATAGTCTCATTTCCATGCGGGAAGAATTAAGTTTATCTTTTATACTCTACTTGGAAGCTTATGCCTGGCTCCACTGGACTTCGCCATGAGCACCTTTCTCTTTGTGGATTTTGTTTTGTACCTTTTTTATATAAAACCATGTTCCAAGTTCTGCAGTTCCTCCTGCAAATCTGGGTGTGATCAATCTTGAGCTCCTCCAACACTTGAGACTCCCAACAGAAGTACAATTAAGACATTAGAGCAGTACCTTGTACCTAGAAAGTGATAATTGGGAGTGACGATTATAGTGGTGGTGATGGTGATGATAATGATGCTATGATAAGTGAGAAATGAAAACTAAGTGTAATAAAAATAGTGGTCAGGGTAATGAATTAAATCATGTCCCCCCCAAACTTCCTGAGCATCTGAAACTTCAGAATGTAATCTTATTTGAAATGGACCCTATTCACAGGTGAAATTAGTTAAAGATCTCAAGATGACAAACCCTAGACTTAGGGCAAACCTTAAATGGAGTGACTTCATTCTTACTAGAAGACAGGGAAGGGCATGGATGCAATGAAGGACAGTTAAGGTCAGAAGCAGAGATTGGAGTGAGGCAAGAGCAACTCAAAGCCTGTGACAGGCCTGGGAGTCACCATAAACCAGGAAGAGGCAGGGAAGGATCCTTCCAGCGAGCCTTCAGGAGGGGTGTGGCCTGCTGATACCCTAATTTCAATCTCTACAAGTGTGGGAGAATGCATTGCTGTTATAAGTGACCTAGTTTGTGATCATTTGCAAGCCCTAGAGAACTAATGCAGTGAGTTGTGGATAACAGATACTAAAATAATTGAGTAACCTGAGTATGAATTTTGCTTGTCTATTTTAAGTTTCTTTCCTTTTCTGTCTTCTAAAATCAAAAATATGCCCATACTGAAATTTCAGAGATAATCTTAACATCTCTAATCTCTACTCTGTCTTTTACTACCAAATGTTGGTTCTATGTCTGCGGTGCTTCCCGAGCTTACTTACAGCCCCCACCAGGCTATTATCATTTTCCTGCCTAAATTATCAAAGTTAAGCCTCTAACTGGACTCATTCTATTGTATCTGACCATTTTCTATAGGCAGCAACAGTGATCTTAAAATATACACCTGATCAGTTATATGACCTGCCTGCATCAAATCCATGAATGGTTTTCCCCATTTCATTAAAATCCCATATCCACAACATGGTTTTTAAGACCCTAAATGATGTAACCCCTGCTTGCCTGCAGTCTAAGTGAATGCCATTCTCTCTCCTGCAAGATGCATCTAAATCTCATTAAAATGTCCTTAACGCTGGGCGTGGTGGTACACGCCTTTAATCCCAGCACTTGGGAGGCAGACACAGGCGGATCTCTGTGAGTTCAAGGCCAGCCTGGTCTCCATAGTGAGTTCCAGGTCAGCTGGGGCTGCAGGGAAACCCTGTCTCAAAAAGACCAAAAAAAAGAAAAAAATGTCCTTAACATGTGTTTTACTAGGGACTGTTGTACAAGGTAGTCCTGTGTGAAAGTCTCACTCTGTACTCTGCTTGCCTTGAGAATGTAACAGAGAGCAAGTAACAGGTGCAGCAGGCGGAGTGCAGGCTTTTGTTCTGTCAGAGCAGCCTTAGATGTCCAGGGTCCCTGCTTACTGTTCTTACCTTGGGTAAGTTACTTGACTTCTGTGTAAACTGGAATAGAATACCTACCTCATTGGATGCCAGAGTTCCATATAAGTTTACATAAAAGATATATAAAGGAATAAGTGAGATAAAGCATACAATTCCTGGCAGAGTAAACATCTATTCAGTTGGGAAGGTTATTACTGTTAGGATAATTTGACCAGTATTACAACTTAATTAACATTTAGATAATTCTATGTTTTTCTAAAATGATTTATGTTTCTAATTATTTTATGGAATCTCACAAATTTCTCTTGAAATCTTTTTCCTTTTTATTTATTTTAATAGACAAACGTGTATATTTATAGGTATCGTGAAATGTTTCTATAAAATATATATATTATATAACATCCAAATCATGATAAGTCTATCAGTGTCTATATTATCTACTTTTCTCCTTATTGATATAAAATAGCCTTACAGAAGCAACCTAAGAAAGGAATGGCTTATTTGGGCTCACAGTTCCATGGTGTATGGTGGGAAGTCCTGGCAGTGGAGCTGAAGTAGCTGATAACATTGTACCTGTAGTCAGGAAGCAGAGAGAGTAATGAATGCAGTTCACTTTCTTTTTATTCAGGTCAGAACCCCAACCCAAGGAATGGTGCTACCCACCTTTAGAGTGGTTCTTCCCACTTCAGTTAACACAATCTAGAAACTCTCAGACAGTCCATGAGTTTGTCTCCTGGTTGATTCTAGATCTGGTCAAGTTGATAATCAGTGTTAGCCATCACATACTCCTCAAACATTACTCTTCGTGGTAAAAATATTCAAAGTCTTCCTAAATTTTTTGAAGTGCTTGGTATATGTCTAGCAACCCTCCATAGAAAGATCTGAAATATAGTATACTGTAATTAATATAACCTTTTCAGGCATGTTATTAACAGAAACCTTGGCCTATTTATCAGCCAAATGGCTATGTGGGTACATGAAGCACTCATACAAATAGTACTGGGAGTTTATTTCAATTTCCTAAGCTCTGATGACACGGTGAGTAAACAAAACTGTACCACAAATATTATTATCATTATTATGCTGAAAACCATCTTTGACATCCCAAATATTACATTTAAGCAGCTCTTTCTCATAGAAATTTACAGGACAGGAAAAACTTAGAAAACTTAAACTATTTACTATTAAACTACTAGTAATGAACCATTATGACCCCAGGTTAACAGAACAGCAATGTCTATCAAATAATAAGCTAAATGTGGGTCAGTGTAACTTCATTTGCTTATTCAGTCACTCATTAAATAATTATGTACCTGCAGTGTATTGGCATTATTCTGGGAAGTGATGACACAACAGAGAAAGTCAAGGTCTTTGCTGCCAGTCATTGTCTTGCTGAGGAATAAAAGGTCACAATTTAACCACTTGATGTTTAAGAATAAAAGTTACACAAGCTATTGCAACAGCCCTTGATTATCTCCCAGAACTTGAAGGTAAGACTCTATTGCTAAAGACAGGACATACTTTGGACACAGGACTTGGGAGTGATGGAGTTGTAACTGATCTGGAAGCCTCCTCCCTGAAGACTAGCTTTCAGAGAATACTATGCAAGTAGCTAAGGGAGAAAAATCAATCAATGGTCCAGCCCCAGCTTTAAAGCCTAATAACCACAACACTGACCAGCAAAACATACCATAGCCATGGCAGTAGTAGCACTTTTATCTTGGAAGTAATCAACAGCTATATAATAGGACTTAAAACCCTCTCAATGAGAGGTAACTCATGAGTAGCACTGTAAACACAGCCAAATACACATAGCTAGAGAGGTCATAGATCCTAGAGAAAACCCTATCTCTGTTATAGTCCTAGACAAATATAATTTCTTACTGTATGCTAAATATGGATCCTTACAAATATGCCAGTCCCCACTCATCAAAGAAGCTTCTTTTGCAGCAGATGGAAACATTACAAAGCCCCACAACTGGTCAAGCACAGAGAATAAGTGTCTGTGAGATGCCCAGCCCTCAGTGACACCTCTACAGTGGTACCTCTACACTTTAGGCTCATGGAACATAGTGGAACGGGGAATAAAGAGAATACTAATATATCTCTCAACTCTGACCAATGAAGCTTCCTCATGCAACAGAGGGTGCTGCACACAGAAGGCCACAACTGGCCAAAGTGTAGAGAATAAGTAGAATATGTGTCCCTGAATAGGACTCCAGTATTAAACCTTACCCACCCATGGCTCAGGGACCACTGTGGTTTTTCTTTGGTTTTATTATCCAGAACTCTTACTTCTAATGACTAGAAATCCTTGGCTGAAGCAGTCTCTCTATCTAAAGATTTCTATCTACCATAATGAAGGGTTGTTGTTTCTCTCTCTCTCT